TGTGGCTTTTTGCTGGGGATGAATATTTGCGATTTTTAGGAGGTCGTACCCTCGAAACACTAGTGAAACAACTCGCAGAGATGTCACTGTTTGTAAAACACGTCGCCGATAAACAACATTTCCCTGTTTTTCTCTGACGCTACTTCCCACGCAATCTCGGTCAAGGCATTTGGGTGGCGAACGCGCTAGGACCACGTGACCCGAAACGCATTAGCAGCGCGGAATAATGAGGCCTACGGACAAGGCAACGGCAGACAATCGTTCCGTACAGTCCTTCGCTATCATTAAAAACACTGGACACGGGAATTTTGTTATTGGCCGTTTTCACGCTAGAGCTAGAAATGGTTTATCCGTCTGAGACTGGCCTGCGTACAGTCGCACCCTCCCCACAGAAACTCCTTCTCCGATTTTTTTCTGAGGGGAGGGGACAGCCGTACACAGGCTATCTGGAACGGATAATCCCGTCCTCAAACTGTCTGTCAAAATTGACGGATAAAGTCAGGCGGATTGTTCATTCAAAACAAGAATCGCCGAAAGGCGATTTTTAACTGGGCTGCAAAGGGGCTATTTTTTCTGAAGGGAGGGGGCGGCTATACACACTCAGGTAGCGCTACCATAAAACCTTGTCGGCAACCATTGCATGCGACAGAACCTCATGTGAGACTGAAACATAAACTCATTTAGAACATTGTACCCCTTTGAAAGACTTTCGTAACCAAAAAAAAAAAAGAGTACCATTTTTAAGTGGGGGCTGACCGGCCCGTAACCAGGGGGGTGCACGGGGTGCGTTTGCACCCCCACGCCCCCCACAGGCCCCAAAGGTCCGCATTTTGATACACAATATCCAAGTTAAGGAGTGCAGTCGGTTAAACTGAAGTTTCAAACTTAACAGTGATATTTAAACAAAAACAAAATGAAGTGTATTCACTGGGAAAATAAAACCAGCTGCACTCTAGTGGCCCGAGCCATCCAGAACATTTCAATGAGCGCACAGATGCCCGAGCTTATCTAAATGAATAATGAAATTAACGTGCGCGCGCTTTGCACGGGAGTTTACGACGAGCGAGCCAATGACAAGGAAGCGATCTCACGATTTTTGTCAGACACGTCCGCTAACCCGTCGGGTAGTATTCTCTATTTGTACCAGCACATGAACTCCCGAAGATGCAAAATTAGTTTTTTGTGTAATACGTTATGGGTAGGAGAGAATAGGAAAATAGAGAGAGGAAGGCTGCAGCTAAATCTTGACAGTCCCTCGATACATGGGTCAGTAAAGTACCCCGTCAAGAGCCATCAGTGCAGTCTGCGATGACAGCCCAGCTGAAACACGACTTCAGATCTATCTCTGTTAACTACAGTTTTACACCGAGATATAGAAGGTAAATCATACTTATTTTCCCAATGTCCACCAGTCTTGATCCCATTATTATGCTCTGAGATTTAGTAGTTATTCCTCGATATGAAACAAACTTGCTTAATAAAAAGCCAGTTAGGGAACACAGAGTAACAATTCGGAGAGGGCCTGGGAGGGTTACATCTAAAGCAGCAATCCACAGGCATCCCAAACCATCAAAATAGAAGTTTTCGAGACACAAAGAGAGAAAATACATTTTATGTTTCTCAAGTTAAAATTGTTTTGGATGAGGTGGTAAATCTGTATGCCACCAAACACCCACGGAGGCTGGAGCTCGTGACTATTCTGAGGGATTAGTTCCGCAGTATTTTGATGTATCATTTTACATCGTGAAATTACTCCTTTATAACTTAATTCAAACATTCGTATTCGACAAATGTAATATTCAGTTCCTACTAAGAGAGGATAAAGGGAACAGAGAAGGCATCCTCCATACACACCCAATTCCATAGGTAATTCGTCTCGAGTTATTTTTAAGACCACAGATCCCAAGGGGGATTAGACAACAGCCAATCACAGTAGCGCGAATGTGTTCTGTGGATGACCCACGCTCAGAGCCACGCGTCCTTCACGAATTGAGGCAGAAAAAATGGAGGAAGACGCGGAGAGCAATATTGCTATTCGTTTTGTCGACGAAAACGATTAAAGAGAGATCTCTGCTGAAGCTGTGTCAGCGAAAAGGAAATTAAAAAAGAATCGCCCTTCCTCTCTTGTATAGAGCTAACAGTCCAGCAGGGAAATCCCTAACACAGTGAATATTCTCTCAGGATCCTTTATAATTTACAGTTTGAAGAGAGCAATTTCTGGTGTGATATCTATTCTTTTATTAGTCTTTTATTATTCAACAAAAATAACAGTTGGCGTCCTATAATAATAATAATAATTTAATAACTTCTAGAGCGCTATTTTCATTCACTGATCAACAGCGCTTAACAACTTAAAAAAACTACAATAAAATTCAAATTTGTAAAACTAATTACATGTACATGAATATTACTTGCTACTTGCTTTATTGTACAAACGACCCGTTTCAATAGACCGGCGAAATCTCTCATTTTATTAAGCATTGAGGTTACGATAACTTCGAGTTAAACTGATTTCACGGGTTGTCAAAGAGTCGAGCGATTCCCTTTTCCCAGGTGAGCGCCGACTCATTTCGCTTCAATATTCAGAAATGCTCTCTATCTCTTTACGCTTTCATTGCCTTTCGCCCGAAATGTTTCGCACGGCGTTTAGTCAAGCGAAACCTCCACGAAACATCCACGCAGCGTCCAAAGTAACTTTATCCCTATTCTAAAAATAACTCGAGACGAATTAACTATGGAATAGGGTGTGTATGGGGGATGCCTTCTTTGTCCCCTTTATACTCTCTTGGTTCCTACCGTGTACTTTGCCGTTACAATTTCTCATGTATTGTTACCTTCCTAAATAAACGGATCAGACATTAAAAAATACATTTCGGTAGTTTGGTCCACTTTCGCCTCGTTAGCACCCCCCACATAAAATCCTGGTTACGGGCCTGTGAGTTGGACGACGTTTTAAATTTGGTATCTCATGACATGATTTGGATTTATCACGAAGAATTCTGCTGCGGACTTTTATGGTTACAAGATATCACTTTAAACTAGGTTTGATGAAAGAAGAAAAGTTTTATCCCCCTTATGAACGTGAAAAATAATGGCGACTAATCAGGCGCGGGTTTAGGATAAATACTGACCGATGTCCTACAGCTGCAGGCGCAGGTCCGGGTGACCCCGGGAGATTTTCTGAATTTTAACTCCCTAAAGCCCTCTTTCCTGGGTATCTGAGTCTTTCAGACAGGATATTGGCCAGTTCCATTTTCCGCAGATGAAGCTTTGTAAATTGACGCTTTATTAGTAGTTCAAGCCATAGTATATGGGGAACGAAGTTGGAGAGTTTGCTCCGCTAGCTTGGAGGCTCCTGCAAAACACTCTCCAAATTTATTCGCCCTCTATTGGTCTATTACTCCTTAACCATTTACCAGAATTCAACTTGGAAAGTCTCTTTTTTAAATATATTTATAACTATGAAAAATTTGACCGATTTCCGTAAAACTGTGGAAACCTGTGTGGTTCCGCGTTACGTGGATTTAAAACATGTAGTGTCAGTGCTTTTTGAGTTCATTGACCAGTTAAAAGGTATTGACAGAAAATTAAACAGATAAGGCATTAATTTTATTTTGAATTCAATAACATAAAATGGAGTTTATATCGTCCTGAATGACTATGTGCTTCACAGGTACTGAGAAAGATCGTGTATTAACATCAGAGAATGTAGAATTAAAGAACGGCTATGTAGCAGACCACACGACCACTTCTCGCATTACTTCCAAGCCCCGGATGTGTGACGTCACTCAACGCTCTTCTGGGGAGGAGTGTTGCGTGACGACACAAAGAACGGCTTTGTAGCAAACTAATTGTAGCGTTGAAATATCGATTACGACATCTGGGATAAAGATTGTTAGATCGTGGTCGTGCGAGTGGTTGTTTTTTAGAGCTGTTTCAGATCAATTGTATAGTTTCGCTGCGATTCAAGTCATCATATGAATATGTCTATTGTCATTAGTATTGGACAAAATGTTATTGGGGAATCCTGAACGTTTGATTGCAAGTGTTACGAGGTAGTTGCGGTTAGTTTTGTTTTTGAGTTTTGGTCAGTATTTTTAAGGTTTCTGTTAAATTTAGGGTATCCGAGCGATTATTTTGTAGTTAAGTTCATAATCCAAGGAAATTCAACTGAGTATAGCCCACACGGTTAGTTCCTGAGTTTTTGAGAAGTATCGTCCATTTGAACGATTTGTTAAAATCAGTTGTAGTTTTTTTAAGTAGGCATGTTCGGGGATAAAAGCTGACCTCAAGTTTTACCCACGTACACTGAAGTTTCAGAAGTTCATAACTATTATTCCACGAACTAGTCTCAACAAGGTTCATGGTGTGATGCCTGGTGTGATGCGACTCATTGTCCATAATGCACATATTGCGGGAATCTTATGAAATTTTTGTATATCAGCACAACAGTGGTAGAGACAGTTCCTTTACTGCAACAGGCGACTACATCTATATATTTAACTCATGTGGGACATGTGGATGAGTTTCAGAGTTGTGTATCACTATGTACATAAATGTCCATACTGAATTATGTTGGAATATGCCAAGGTTGACGATTCAAATATGTTTGAAGAAAATGATATTTCCAATAAATATTTCTGAATGAAATTTCATCACAAATAAAACCACAAAATTGAAGGCATTGTTTTTTCTCTTACCTACGAGTGTCCCTACGAGTAATGTCCTTAGTCGCAATCTTTAGTCTTTGAATCTTGAATGGTACCCGTTGAAAACTGGGGAAAAGTCAACTAACCGGAACTGAAATCTGTTTCCTAGAAATGAACCGAAGAAACCTCCTTCTGTAAGCATTTTCACTTTCCGAGAAAAGGGGAAATAAAATATTGCTTCTGTAAGCATTTTCACTTTCCGAGAAAAGGGGAAATAAAATATTGCTTCAGTAAGCATTTTCAGGGTTTGATCTCCAAAACAGAACAACAGATATTTTATCACGAAGGAAAATGAGTAGACAAGACTTAATCAGCCTTCTAAATGATTATACCACCAAAGTGCAGTTGAGAAGAAACCGAAAAACCGAGGCACTTGAATACTGGGAGCGATTTGTAACTGACATCATAAATTCTGTAAAGAGAAGCGACAAACGCTTCGCGAATTTGCACATTTTTCACACTGGAAGCTATTACGATGGCTCAAAAGTTCGGAAGCCGGATGAGTTTGATATGATGTTGGTGATGGACAACTTACAACTCGACGGTGAACCTTATGGAGAAGACGAAGATGATGGTATGAGCGAGCCGCCAACAGGTGCGAGGTTGCAATTTTCTATTTTCGCTTTTTCTTAAGCTAGGAAATTACCTTGTAATATGAGCTACACAGAAAAATTTCTCCCTGTTTATATAACCGGCAAAAGGACAAAAAAATGTGTCTACAGACATTTTGTCACGAAAGATTAATATCAAACATTTCGCTATTAAGTTTGCGGAACGACTCGAAAGCGACACTACTCGAAGGCATGACGTAGTTATCGTTTCAGTCAGGTCCTGTTTTAGTGCAAATGAATACCTTGTTTTTAAAAATTTTCATGTCAGTCGTTGTAAACGAACAGACGGTCTTCACAAATATTACTACTCATGCAAGAACAGATGAGAATTCCAAATTAAATTTAAAAGAGAGGCTTTCCTAAACCTTCCCAACATTTCTCTCATTTCCTTATTTCAGTAGCTAGTACTGAGTCTATTGGTGAGAAACGTATTCGCCACTCTGACCCCACCTCCTCCCTTTCCAGCTGCCCAATCTACCTTCACTTACAAAGAGGAAGCCACAGTTAGATGCCAGTGGTCTCATAACTGAGTTAGAACAACTGAAAATCTGGATAGTATGGATAGACTGGCCCTAATAAACACACCACACAAAACTCAGCTAAACCAGACTCGCCGAAAGGCGAAGTCACTGGGCTGCCCAAAAACCTAGACTACGTCAAAATCAAATCTACCGCCACCAGACAGAGTAGAAGTAGTAGTAGTAGTAGTAACAACAACAATAATAATGATAATAATGATGATGATAATAATAATAATAATAATAATAATAATAATAATAATAATAATAATAAAAGAGGAAGAAGGAAGAGGAGGGGGAGGAGGAGGAGGAGGAAATTGATAAGTTTGCCACCCAGGTGCAGATCATTGGAGGTGGCGGGGGAGGACTGAGGATCTTTGTCACAACAAGAGGTCTCCCCCCAGTGGAATCGAAGTGGACCTTGTAGGTCTGATCTCATCAATTCCTGTGTAAATATATTTTAGGAAGTTGCACCACCTCCTGAGCATTTGCCATGGTACATTAAGATTTAGATCCTGCACATAAAAAAATAGGCCAATAAAATTATCCCCCAGTTCTAACAGGGCATCAGTTTTGTGTTTTAGCTTTTACTTTCCAATAATAATTATACATATTGTATGTACAATCAAGGATGTCTGGTGTCAACGCGAGATTTGACTTGACGTTTTAATTACTACTTAGTTTCGTACCGCCGCCGGCATGTACGGCACTCCTCAGATAAAATTGCATTAAGATGTTATAACATACGCTAAGACTACAAACGCGCCCGCAGATCGTCCTAGATAAGTCGGGAAGAGGAAGGAACCTCTGCCGACATCCTCGACAATTCATATTGAGCATGCTCCAAATTCAAATTTTTCGGCGACGTCAATCAAACCGTTACCATAGCATCCACTGCGTTTGTCAGCAAATGTAAATGTTAGCGGGAACGTACCGGTTCGTTTTCACCCTTCCGTAGCTGTGTTTCCTCTAGATTGGGAAGCTCCGGTAGGAACAATTTCACTTTTGGAATATAAACTTGCCATGTTTCAGTGTAAAGAGGTTAAAAAATGCTTAAAGCTATGGTAAAACTTACGGTGCTTTTCAAAAACAAAGCAACTAACCTTGAAGCAAAGAAACACACAAAACAGATCGAAATCCACCAATCACAAATCACAAACTACGACCTTTTGTTTCCTAAGAGGTTCGCCAAGATGTAAAGGCGAGAAAGGGGAGAAAGCGCCGCTTCTTCAGATTTTGATTGACGTCGTAGGAAAACACAAAATCCAAAGACGTTTTTGGCATCGCAGGTCGGGTGTTATCCACAAACAGCTGTAAAAGCATCGATCATTTACATGCAAGATGGATTCTGTAGCCTCATGATCTTATTTTGAATTAATGCTATGGCAAACACAAAAGAATAAGCATATATATTGTTTCTTAAATATATTTTTATTCAAAACCCAATTGTTTATCCTTTGAAGAACTTCGCGTAACACTTACCGGATTGTGGATCCGTTCACGCAAGTAAAATCGGCTAAGTAAGTGGTTAAATCCAAAACAAAATCCATCTCGAATCTGGGTGCATTTTTCAATTTTTGTAAAACTGAACGTTCAATCTACAGGGGCACCCAACGGCAGTTTTCGGGAAAATATCTGTTCGGAAGACGATTTGAGATCTAGAATTTTCGGAGCATTTGTTGTAAAATTTCTTGCTTGCCTGCCTCTCCTAGGATTTTCGAACATCTACAAAATGGTATAATTACTCATTTTTAAGGGATTTTTGCCCTAAAAAAGGCCACCTAGAATTTTCGGGAGCCTTTTCCTGGCTGAAATTTTCGAGAAGGCAAGTTTTTATCCCTATAATTTTCGGATCACTAGATTTTCAGCTGGGAAATCCGAACAGATGAAAAGTTTTTAGGGGATAAAAATATGCCTATATCTACCGTTTGAGTACTAAAATACGTCCAACAAGTTAAGTGGTTTTGAACTATATCCTCGTTGGGTGCCCCTGAATCTATAATTTTCTCAAAATTCCTGCATGAAATTGAAGAGGCAGCTACTTGTCTTGTCATGGAGCGTGGGCGCAGAAAGAGTCAGCGAAACTCCAGAATATGCGTGCGTGCACAGACAAAACTGGTTTATCCAGTATAAAACTTGTCTCTGACTCATCCAAAAAGCTGGATGATCGGCAGATCAAACGATTTAGATGTCGGCAGAGTCGCTTCCTCTTTCCCGACTTATCTAGGAAGATCGAAGGAGACTCTGTTCGCAGGGTAGTGCCAGATGGGCTTACTGAGTTCTGTACTGAGTCTCTTGTTTGGGTCTCTGAAAGAAGACTTATGGTTCCAGTATCTCAACAAAGTTCTCAGTAAGGCCTACATAGGTCTCGGCTGGCCCGTTGTCCTCCGTTGCTACTGTGGCTCGGTAGATCACGGCTGATTTTAAGCAATTGCCTCCAGAGGGCAATAAGGTGGTTGACGGCAGTTGCAAGCTTTAGGTGGTACGGCGTTTGTTTTCCGTAGAGTGGATTTGTTGTAGCCATCAATTTTTTTAGATTCGGCATGCAGCTGTAACTGATCTTTACTGTGTTCCGGTTGAAGATTTGATGCAGGGTTGTACCCGCCGTCAGCGAGAGCTTTCTGATAAAGAGGCGCCGCTTTGCTAAAGGAATCTTCATCTATAGAGATTTCGGACAGCCTTTTGCTAATGGACTTTGGGATGTTTTTGATGATGCGGGGTGGATGGTTAGATTTCTTGTTGATGTAGAATGGAATGTTTCGTGGTTTGTTGTATGGCAAGTCCAGGTTGAGTGTGACGTCAAGAAAGTTTACTACTTTCTTATCGGCCTCGATATGTAATCTTCAGACCGTACTTTCGGCCTGCCGAGGTGACGCCTTGGTTACGCCTAGACCGTCATCTCTGTACAAGCCAAAGTTACATGCGTTACCGAACCTTTCCTTGATGTTGTGGAGGAGGTAAGTGCCGACGAGTTCGCATGATTCGGCACCATCGTAACTGCCCATGGTCACATCGAAGAGGTTTGATGACGTTCTCTTGCTCCATGGCTCACCGGAGTTGTAGAGAAGAGAACTTTTTGCCTGAAGGATATACCGTTTGTAGTCTTAGCGTATGTTATAACGAAATTTTTGTTGGCAATTTTATCTGAGGGGTGCCGTACATGCCGTGCGGTACGAAACTAAGTAGTAATTAAAATGTCAAGTCAAATCTCACGTTGACACCAGACATCCTTGATTGCACTACGCTCTAGTCCTTCTATTGAGCACCCTGCCGATAGGCGTGCATATGCATCAACTGTTATATTGTATGTACATATTTATAATAATAATAACGACAATAATACGTAATAATAATAATAATAATAATAATAATAATAAAATAATAATAATAATTGTACAAAAAGGGATTTCAGTGTCACCTTTGTGTCATAAGTTAATGAATATTTTGTTCTGTTAATGCACAGGATTTACTACAGTAATGATTGACCAGGGTGAAGAATTGCAGTGGAAGCAAGACAGTTGTGTTAATGCACGGGGAATGTTAAATGCCCAAAGGGTCAAGGAAGTTTTTGCACGGCTCATCAGAAATGCTATTGGCACCCTCGCACAGCGATATAGAAGCAGGTATGAGCATGTAAATATACCAGTATGTGACAAATGGCTCCAGACATAATGGGGAAAAATCCTTAATAGTTGCAAGTCTGTTTCATTTCTAAGGAACAATATTAGTAACTACAGTCATAATTTAATATCATTGGTTTAAATAGTTAGCCCAGCCCATCTCTACCCTAAAATGGTCTATCCCTAAGACAAAGACTTGTTTAACCAAAGTGAATAATTACAAATTCTAATTTGTTTTGAGCACATAGAAAGCACAACTGGAGCAACAAAACTCATAACAGAAACTCCGTTTCTGAAAGAGTAATATTATAATATACTATAATATCATAGGTGACGAATTACTCCTTAATTTTGGCGCGAAATTTCAGCGTTAATTTGTAATTTCACATGTGAAATTACAAAATTGCCATGGCAACCTTCCGTACGTCTCAGTGTCAAGATGGCGAGGAAGTTTTAAAATGTCGTGAATGAAGATGTCAGGGCGGCAAAAGACGCTTTAGAAAACCTGAACACACAAGAGAACATCAAGAAGGATTCTAACAGGTATTTTGCCGAAATAGTCTGAAAAAGTCTGAACTTTATAAGCCAAATTTAAGGTCTAAACATTTGAGAGAGTGGAGTTCTCAATCGATACGATCCAGGATAAACATGTCAAAAATCCAAGATTGCTAACGTAATTCGTCACCCATGATATTAATAGGTAATCAAATGGTGACGAGTGAAATTAGGGAATAATTTCACGCGCGTTTTGTCCAAATCCTTATAATGCCCCTCGCCTTATAATAATTAACAAAATTTGATTATTTAATGTCTGTTATTGACCTTATAACTACTGTTAGTTATTACTATTATTACAAGTGATACCGGTAAAAGTAAATTATAATTATTTTACACTATATAAAGTTTCACTTTTAAACCCTAAAATAATTTCATTAAAAAGGGTTAGCATTTTCGTCCTTCTTCGGTGCCGCATATTTATACCACGAAGGCACAGTTCGAGGTTGTCCGCTATAGTGAGAAGTTGAGTCCATTTGCTTTTATTGTATTCACATTCATGGTAAGTACAGTGTGATAATTGGGGATAACAGGCTCCATGGTCATCACAGGGCTATCTTTGTAGTACTAGGATATCCATAATTTATGCCTTGGGGATGAAAATTGATTGAACTTTTTTTTTAGTGATATAGAAATCATGTCAAAGAGAAAGTAAAATCTACTATTAAAACTGATTCTTAAGTCGTGACACAAGCCGATTAATACTCTTTCAGTCTTGGTTCATGCAAAGCTGTTTGATGAATTTATAAACTATTGATCGTGCGGATACCGGCTGAACCTCTCCGCTCGTACCAAGGTGTCTTGTCATAGGTTGGAGGAAACATTAACACAACATTGTTTATCATTTTTTCCATTGTTTTAACGTTAGGGTAGCAAACCATTTGGCTTTTAGGGTTAGAAGAGCTGCTACATGACCTCTCTCCTGGAAAGAAGAAAAACAATATGGCCACCAAATAGATCCTTTTAGATTTTAAAGTTCTCCTTTATAACAAACGTCGAACTTTTATTTCGGCAAACAAACAGTTTAGTTGAAAAAGGATTCTACAAAAATGACAAGTTGGTCTCCTTTTTGATTTTAACTTGCAATATCGGTCAATTTATGCAACTTTTAAACTTCCGCCCCAGTTGTCGTTTGCTTCTGCTTTGAAATGGAATTATTATTACTCAGAGGCAATACAGAGTTAAGATTTGTAGAGAAAAACAACAAAAACTTGCCAATTAATGATGAAAAATGTACTTTCAAAACGAAATAAATTATTCAAAACGCTCTGGTCACGTGATTGATAACATCATGTCCTTTTGGTCATGAAAAGCATTATCAGGTAGACCATTACTTTCCTGCAAATTTTCACTGCCGTGCGATGAAACGTCGACTCTCTATAGCCCTCAGCCTAGTCTCCCAACATTTTCCCTCATGTTCATTGCCTTTAAATTTTAAATGCCGGACGTCAACTGGTTATTTCTAAATGCCCCACAAAACCAAAACCTCAAATATGCTATTTGTTTTTAAATCGATATTGAAATATTGTCACAGCAACAAAAAAACCTAATTCAGCAATTTAGTCACGTGACGGATGACATAATAACCCTAGATGTTTACGTATAAAATTGTCAAAGTTATAAAGCTTCTTTAAAAAATTGCTGCAAACTTTAAGGATTCTGGGATATTTTTTATGATATTTATAATTTGCTCTTATCTTTAGACATGTTGAAGTCAAGACACACGGTCCTGCAGTAACCCTCGAATTAACTAACAGCAATAATGGAAAAAGTTATTCTATCGACTTAGTGATTGCCATCAAAGATAAATCCTGGCCTGAGGATGCAGAAGAATGGAGAAAAAGAAGGCGCCAAGGTGAGGCAACCTGTTGACCACATAGCAGCTAGTAATGTCTGGGATACTGTTCTGATAATATTGATATGGGAACAGAAGCCACCAGGAACATTGGCTTTCCTTGTCTTTACTGCCGAAGTATGCCTTTGACATTAGAGAGTTTTAGATCCGAGTTTACCGCGAACCTCTAACCGCTGGAGGTCACGTGACAAGTCTTTCGCGTCACGTTTGAGGTTTACGACGTGCGTTTTCAACGTGGGGAGATAGGTTTTCACGTATGTCATTTACCTGAAAGCTTTTAGCGTATAATTCTTGTTTTATCCCACGTAGTGATACAAAAATCTTGTGGAGCAAGTCTTTATCCATTAACAGAGGCACAAATTCGGACGAAATGCTAAATTTGATAAATCCCTTTGGATCTTGAAAACAAGTGCCATTCATGGCTGCTGATTCAAAATGGCGGCCGTAAAATTGCAAGACGAACTAATATAAGAATTTACAGCTCTTTGCTGCTAGATAACCCACTGTTACCGTAAATTTCTTTTATTTTCACTGATCGATTTTTCTTCTATTTCTAAATGGAAAAATAAACCAGAATCCACTTCTTTAATCCACCGCCAATCTAAATCGAATTATGTTTGAACGTCGAACCGCGAACGGGTAACCGCAAACCGCGGTTAGAGGTTCGCGGGAAACTCGGATCTAAAACTCTCTATTAACTTGTGGTCAACTTCAAAGGTCAGTGAAGACCTCTACGATGGCTCCTGTGGCCTAAGGGCCATGTTCTCACGTTTCATATATAGCAAGCTGTACCTGAGGATTAGTACAGTTAGGCAGTATGACAACCAGGCTTTGGGAACAATTCTGGTACAGTGAAACATCAAAGTAAAACAATAGACCTTTTTACCGATACAGCAGCCATATTGAATTAATTCGATTTAAGGAGTATTATAGGATGCCCAGGGGGCATGAGCACATTTCGTTTGTATTTTTGAGCGTTTGTATTTTTTTTGTTTGTATTTTTGAGCGCTTTTCTTAAAGTTTTCTTAGAATAACATTGTAATGGGAGAGAAGATCCTTGTGCCGTGTTTGGATGTAATAATGATCGCCTTTTTCTAGTTTAGTATTAAAAATATGGTCTTTCACCGTATATTTCTCGGGAAAAAGGCGATCATTATCTCATCCAAACACGGCACAGGGACCTTTTTCCTCATTAAAATCTTATTCTAAGAAAACTTTAAGAACAAATGTTCTGAAAAGCGCTCGAAAATACAAACGAAATGTGCTCATGCCCCCTGGGCATCCTATAATACTCCTTAAATCGAATTTAATTCAATATGGCCGCCGTATCGGTAAAAAGGTCTATTACTGATCAAGACAATGTAGTTGGCTGTATGAGCTAAATATAATGATTGTAGACATCTTTGTATAACTACCTTTAGGCAGCTTCTTACCTTCTTGTACTTATCAATATTATTTTTTTTTACTTTTTAGGTTGGCCACAACCACAGCTTATACAGGAGATCTGTAGGGATGGTTGCTACCTAGTTGCAAGGCAGCCCAAAGAAGGGAGGATTCCAGAACGTGAAAAGCACTTTCTGTGGATATTTTCTTTTGCAGCAGCAGAAAAGAAGTTGTTGCGTGAGGGCAGTCGTGGTGAGGCAAACTGTTGTCGAAAGCCAGTTTTGCGAATATTAAAGGCTCTGAAAGATGAGCTTAACTGGCACCCTCTTAAGTCTTACCACCTCAAAACCATACTTTTTCATGCATCTGAGGACAACCCCTGGCAATGGAGCTCTGATCACATAGGTGATCGATTCATTGACCTTCTTCAGAGGCTGGAAAAATGTTTAAGGGAGGTTAATTGTCCTCATTATTTTATAAAAGATTTAAACTTGTTTGAGCAGTTTCCTCGCCAGAGATGTGCTGAATTGGCTGAAAGTGTAAAAAGGATAAGAATGAATCCTGAACGTGTCTTGAGAAAGTAACAGGTAAGAGATCTGACACTAAAGATGGGACAGGTTGTGGTGTCAAAATACCCTTCAAATGACGACTACACGTCGTGTAATTTGCACATAAATAATTCTGTGATAGATCTGCTGGTAAACATTTTTGATCACCACATTTTACACTTAAACATATGTGCACTCTCTTGTAGCTGTAACACTCCACTGTTATGTCATGAATGGCTTTTAATTTACAGCAGGAAATGTTATTGTAAAATAATATTAAATTCAAATGACTCAGCGTGCAAAGAAAGAAGTGTCAGACAAGCAATAGCCCAGGGCTGCTGGATTTTTCTATCGGGCTAGTGAATTTTTTTCTCAACTTGCCTGATGGACAGGTGAAGTTTTTTGAGGAATTCAAATCACAGAAGAACTGTGTAATCAATCCCGTGCATCAAAACGTTTTTGGGGCTAGTTATGCTACCTACAGTTGCTTGAATGGCAAGCTGTAAAACTGTTTTTCTTTGCACCCTGAATGACTACATGTATAATAATTGCACGGTGTGTATTTCACAAGTTAAGGTTTAAGGTTAACAGTTAAGAGTGAAGATTTTCAATGGAACCCTGGCCATTTCTGCACATGAAGGAAGACAATCAAAATTATTGTAGAAAAAAAATAGTCCTTAAAACCTCCTTCAGAAAGAAGAATTACACTGTACCTTCACAGCTGTACAATAAAACTGAAGTCAGTACTTTACAATGTATCACAAGCAGTAATAGTATGATATTGAAATCAACAATAAACAACTTGTTTGCGAGGTCCTCTCCAATCAAAGTAGAATCTTGTGGTGTATCTCTTTGGAATAATTGAACATGTTTGCTTACTTTAGGCTGTGGGAATACTTTCTTCCTAATCTGACTCATCGGCATACCCTGTTCCTTACACTTGAGTACTTCTAACATAAGCTTCTTCAGTTCTATAGCTGTTCTTGAGTGTAGCCACTTGTCTTTAGTGTTAATAATGTCGTTGTCAAATCCTCCTGCCTTGTCAATACATCTTAGTGCATGTGTACTGAATTCAAATCTCATGGTTTGTTCCAGTATTTGACTGTAATATTTCTTTTTAACAACATTTGGCTTCCAAACCCGCTTGGTTCTGTGGAGAGAAGGCAATATTGCGTATTAGCAAAATGAATCCAGATCAGCCACAGGCCACCCAAGCTCAAAATTTCACAGTCTGCTGGTTATGTACAGACTGTCCAGCAAAAAACTGATGTGAATACTCAACTAGACTTTTACAGGAGGATAGGATAACTTTTAAAAAGAGTTACCTGTTCATTCTATGATTCTATGGCTCCCATTATGCCCTTGTGGTTTTCTATGACCACAATAAGAGTTTATAGAAAAACACAGAGGATAAAAAAAAACATCCTATGGACTGAAAATCAGCAAGAAAACTACACTGTAGCTGGCAAGGAAATATAATTACCGGTATAACCAAAGCAATATAAGGTTGCTTATTATTATCTTCATTTTAATATTCAAAAACTCATCAGCGTGCAAAGAAAGTGGTGTCCGATAGCCTGGGACTAGTGGATTTTGCTACCGGGCTAGTGAAGTCTGCTTTTAACTTGCCGGACGGGCAAGTGCTGTTCTTTGAGGAATTTGAATAACAGAAGAACTTTGAAATCAATAATCTACCAATCAAAAAGCTTTTGGGGCTAGTTGAAGTGAAGTCAGGACTAGTAAATGCTAGCTTCAGCTTGCCCGAATGACAAGCTGTAAAAATGATTTTCTTTGCACTCTGCTCATTAATAATAATATTCTCGAAAAAACAGAAGAAATTAATGTTTAATGAGTGTCTTTATATCTGATTGACTTCACCTCCAATTATTTTGGACCAAAATAACTCGGCCAAATCTAAATATTAGTGCAAGAATGAGTTGATCCATATCAGAGATTTTGAAGCAATTAAAAAAACTCGCAGTCATTTATCATCAGGTTTAAAAACTCAAGGTGAAATCTAAACCTGATAATACACCCCTGCTCGTTTTTTAAACAGTACCTAACTCATAATACTATTATTTTAAGTCCAAAAAAAGCTTAGTTTGAAGCTTATTGAGGCTTTCAGATGACATGCAAAGGAACATGCTTGGAACATAATACAAATATTAAAACCACAGACTGTGGTGTAATCTGACCCAACTTAAATTGCATAGATTTATAGACTTTGCAAAAAGCCTTACATTAATTACGTACAGTAAGTATATCTGAGCTATGTGTTTTTGCAAATTAAACAAAATTAATAATTTATTATTATTGTTATAAGTGCTCCACAAATTGATATTCACGTGATTTCAGTACAAACATCAGAAGGACCTTAAACTCACCACCAGGGCCTTCGCAGCCACGTAAAATGCATATTAGTTGGTAGAACAAGGTTTCCCAAGAATGTGCTAAGATTTTGCAAAAACCGCGCTATACCGTTTATAAAGTGCCTCTGACCACCCACACCAAGAATACAACTGCGAGCTCACATTTGTTTGCCTGCACTAGCCCTCCTAAAATGTCCATTCTGTCACTGTGAAGTAACATTCTCACATGCAACTGGGAGCCAATGCAACCAGACTATGCAGCCCGACCTTTCTTATATCAACACTACGAATCATTAGTGTTACAGCACCAAAGGAGAGCTAACAAAACAGCTGAAACTGAGCCTAGATTCAATAATTGATCAACATATGAGAATAACCGGAACTAAGGCACTACCTGAAATCCTACAACCCAAAAAACACATGGAGAGTGGGTGGGCGGGAAAGGTCAGGCAATGGTGGAAGGCAACAAAAACAAATGAACTCTGAAACACCATGTGACCTGAAGGCCCCCCACACACTCGAACCCATACTCCCAGCCGTGTGTGAGAAAAACATTTTGTGCTTCGTTCGTTCCTCAGCCAGCAGAAAACCACACTTACTGTCATTTACCAGCCAGCCACCACTGATAAGCATAAGATTTTCAAATCATTGTATGAGACTGGCCTTGTGAGTCTTTGATCCCAAAAAGCATCAATTTTTGTGTTTTAATTTTGCTGCCTTTTTCCTGTTGTTCCCATTCAGAGCTTTAGCAAAGGATAACTGACAAGGACAAAGACCATCCTTGGAACAGAAAAGCAAAGATTCATATATATATATTTTTTTAATCATAGAATGTCCGAAGGTTGAGCTTCTTCAAAATTATGCTCATCTGCAGAACACCCACTTGCCTAGGATCCAGTTTAAGAGAGCTTACTATTACATATAGTCTTTGCTCCTATAGTAGCAAAGGGACAACAATACAGTGTAAAATGGTACAGATGTGATCCCCATGTGTTGGTACCCCCCCAGCAGCCCTGCAAGCATAAACTTCACAACCATATATGTATGCTATAGCCGTACATTGTAGCATCACTTCATTATCAATCAGATGAAATTAACCATTTTTCCCATTTATGTTAAACTACTAGCAATGCGTACATGTTGGAAAGAATTGGAATCTTCCCAATGTACTCCTTCCTGCCTTTTTAGTCCTGTTTTGGCTGGATTGGTAGCAATCTTATCCAAAGGATTTTTTATCTCCCTTTTTAACCATAATATTATTATATGACAGCAGAACAAGAAAGTAGAATCCCGTACGAAACTTGCAGCGCTGTACAGCGCCACAAAATCGCTGCAAAATAGCTGTACAGCTAAATTACAGCTGTTCAGCAGCCGTTTAGAAGCCAAACAGCAGCTTCATTCAAGTTGCAGCGGGATGCAAAAGCGCTGTGCAGCCTTTAAAGGCTCTTTGAAGCTCTCGGCAGCGGTTTTGCAGCGCAGTTGCCGACTTTCAAACGCTGCGAAGTAGCTGCAGTAACGCTACAATTCAGCTGCGGTCGATCTGACTTTCTTGAGCGCCAATAACATGAATCGCCAGATAAAGCCTTTTCACAGATTACGGCTTTTATAACGCGAAAACTTTGACTGTACCTCTAAGAAATGTGAGTAAGCTTGTTCGCAAAGAAGATCACTTATTGAATAAACCTCCAAATCCTATGCTTTCGGAATAAAGATTTCAATAAATTTCATTCCGTGACCGGCGAGTGTGGGAATGTTATCGCTAATTCCCTGGAGACATTCTAGGCCGTAATAGAGTACCGAAGTGTGACGTCATAAAAAATGAAATTTGTGAAATTATGGGATTTGTTAAGCTATTCTAAAAGAACAACGTCCAAGACGCCTACTCGCCAAAAATTAGCAATTTGGGGCAAATTGTCTCTGAGATATTAGCCCAGTTATGCTCCGATGACTCCATACAAATCCTTCTAAATCTTACCTGGTTCCTAATCTTATGAACCAAGCCAAATTTAGAAGGATTTGTATGGAATCGTCACAGCATAACTGGGCTAATATCTCAGAGACAATTTGCCCCGAATTGCTAATTTTTGGCGAGTAGGCGTCTTGGACGTTGTTCTTTCAGAATAGCTTAACAAATCCCATAATTTCACAAATTTCATTTTTATAACGTCATCACTTCGGTCCTTTTGCATGAGATCCCATTACATCTCTAGACAAACACAGAACATTTGCGACCGTTGAATGAAAGGCGCAAACATTCTAAGTTTGTTTGCATCTAGTTCTGTTTCGAGATGGAAGTTCTGTTGAAGTTTTTGGATGGAACAGCTCAAACGTATTTGCAAACAACGCACTGAACAGTGACTTCTACGCTAAGTATCGACGAATCGAACCAGAGCAAGGAACACAGATACAAGAATCTCAGATGGGGTTCGCACTTACAAGATTCTTATACGCTCGTGGTTATGTTCGTTCCTTAGTCCATTGTAAAATTTAACGACGACCAAAGTAAAATTGGGTTGATTTCTTTCATGAAAAAAGTGTAGAAGATCGTGGATCATGGACGAAACGTCAAGGTGAGCAATGTCCAGCTTAGCCCGTTGCAACGAATCAAAATATCATTTGCCTAATGGCCGTGCATGTAAACTTTATGTAGAACAATCGATGTTATTCTCTTTATTTTTAAAAAAGATAATTTTCAATGTCTGCATGTTAATGGATGTTCTTACATTCAGATAAGTGACCGTGATTGCTAAATATTTACAAAGCGAGACTGTTGCAGACTTGCTCTATGTCACGTGCTTTTGTAACGTGTACGCGTGGATACTAATAAAGTATAAGTTGCATTTTGACTTTCTAGTGGTTTTTACTCTGCTACTAAGCCGGTTTAGGCAAATGCCATAATTCTTTGAATTTTTGTACACGTTTGCAGCTATTTGGCAGCGCTGACAGCGTTTTTGTGTGTCCTTTCCACCGCTGCTAAACCGCTGCTTATCGCTTTCAAACGGCTTCATAGCGCTGCCCCGAACAGCCAAAATTTGCGACTGCTGCAGCCAGCCTCTTTGCAGCTATTCTGCAGCGCTTCTTGAAGCCATTCTGCAGCGCTGCAACAGCGCTGCGCGTTTCGTACGGGATTACACAGTCGATGTAAGGCTGGGCTCGTCTCAGTCAATACAAGGCAGGCCCATAACCCCAAATCCCCTGCCGGTTATTCATTGGACACTTTTAATATTTCAACAGCTGTCATTTTAGTTCTCCTGCAGTGGCTACTCACCTTGTTTCACCATTTGTTAGAAGCAGG